TGCTGAAGTGGCTCCCCTCTTCTTCTAACAAGGGTCTCTATCTTCTTATCTGCTCCCAATGCTCTTGGAGTAACTCTGTCCATTGGGAATGGAGTGTGTGTTACCTGGGGAAGACAGCAAGACTAAATTATTCAAGCAGTAGCTAACACTGCAACAGTTTTTTTTTAGATCTTATTTTTTAGTAATAGCATGCAGAATTTTGGCAAGATCTGCTGGGCTTTTTTTTGTGTGTGTGTGCGTGCCTTACAATAGGTGGGTGTCTGAGGGTGGCAGGCTCTTAGCAGCATTTCACATTCCATCTGATGAGTAAAAAAGGGTAATCGAGGAGCTAGTGTTCCATACCTTCTTTTTCCTTAATGCTACTGCTAAGTCATGCACATCAGATCCATGAACATCACAGATGGTGGGGCTAATGCATTTTAAAGTCCTCAGCAAGTTTGTGTGGAGCTATTCAGAGGACAAAGCAGGAAGATAGTCATCATTATGAAGTGCACCCTGAACTCAAATGGGTGGGGGCTTCCCCTCTCTTCCCTCCTCATCCTTCCCCAACCCCTGTCCCAAAGTGAGCTATGTAGTCTTACACTTGTGAGTGCTCTGGTAAGAGCAGTGGCTCTTTGGGAACCCCAGGCTATGGTTTAACAGTTTTCCTGCTTGAAGTTCTGAGAGAAAGAAAGCTATGGCTTAAAAAGCAGCAAAAGCACCATCCCATGGAAACCCTTCTAGTTGCTGTTCTCTGCTATGGAATAGGTCGTTACTAGTGGGGACTCCCACTGCACCTTTCAATTCTTGGACCTTGGACCAGTCACCTAACCTTTTTAGCTCATTATCTCTGCTTGTGAAAGCAATGCATTGTGGGTATTTTTGGTTTTTTCTTTTAATTACATTTCTCTGTGTTTACTTTGATCAGAATTGATTGACTTGTTTTCCTGAGGTGTTGCATTGGTTCTTTAAGATGCTGAATAATAATACTTTGCATGCTTGTGTGATCAGCCAAATCTTATCGCATGTCTAATGTGCAGGGTAAAAGCAGGTGATGTATGGATGTCAGAAACAAAGTCATGCAGCCCTGTAAAGCTCCAAATACCTAATTATACACAACTCTGTGAAATGTGCTTCTGACATAGGTGATTCCAGCCCCTGTGAGATGCCTTCTGAGGGGCTCCTGGATTTCACAAGCCCACTTCATGAAGTCAATGTTTCCGTGTGTTTAGGGGGTAACTAAAATCTTTCCAGGAGAATAACCAGAGCAGAGGTTTCTAAATCCTGGTTTCTCTTCTTCAGGACATCAGATTTTTTTTGAATACGTTTATTGTACAAGATGGTGGTTCCCCTCCCTCTCTCCTTTGCATACTGTCTCCCCCTCTGCCCGCCCCTTCCCCCTTTGCATGCCATGGAAGATGACTTGGAGCCGTCTAGCAGTCTAGCGTGCGTGAGCACACACATTCTCTTGCTGATTTGCTCCTGCCAAAAGCCCAGGTTGTGGATTCATACATCACCTGCCTGTGTAAAATGCATGTGCATGCTGCCGTCCTCAATAACCGGAATGTGTTTTCTGTTCTTTTGTTTTTTGGTTTTTTTTTTGTTTTGTTTTTTGTTTTGTTTTGTTTTTGTGTGGATTTTCTGCAGTGTGGTTTACCAGGACGGATTTTACGGGGCTGACCTCTATGTAAGTACACACACCGGAGCCTTCTTGTCCCCAACCCCTGACAAGCCAGCCTTTTTTATTTATTTATTTATTTTTTCCTTTTGGTTTGTTTGGTTTGGTTTGATTTTTTTAAAAATATCATTTACTTTAATTTTCTTCTTCCTTGTGGATATATATATATTTATATATTTAGGAATGCAAGCATGCTTCTCTGTCACTGCGCTTGCCCCTGGGTGCAAGACCTAAGCCTTTGGGTTTCCTGATCATTGCCAGGGTCAGTTTACTGGGTGTCCTGTCCCCCACGTGCACACTGCTACTAATCAACCTGAGAAATTATTAGCAAATTAAAATTTCTCTCAACACTTCTTCTGTTTAAATAATTTGGACATAAAAATAACAGGACTGGTTTAGCCTCAGACCTTCCCTTTCCTTCTTCCCCTCCACCCTCCCCTTTCTCTCCTGTCTTGGGGCCCTTTCAGGTTCGATTCGTGCAGCCCACACTAAACTGAGTGAGCTGTATGTTTAAAAACGTTCATGTGCCACTGGGATGTGGAGATTATCCCTTTGGGGAAGATGCTGAGGCTGATTAAAAATGGAGACCGAGATGCTAGAGTGAAAACTGACATCTCATTTTGCTGGTAGAAACGGTACCTAAATAAGCTAGATTCTCTTGCCTCTTTGGGGAATTGTAGAGTACAAATATGTGGAGATGTTCAGTTAGAAGAGTCAGCTGCCTCTTCCTATCTGGGAATTAGCTCTGATACCACAGGAGACTTTGTTCTGTCATTGTCTTTGTCCTACCCAGCCAGTCTGTATTGCTAATGCATGTGCATGCTGCCGTCCTCAATAACCGGAATGTGTTTTCTGTTCTTTTGTTTTTTGGTTTTTTTTTTGTTTTGTTTTTTGTTTTGTTTTGTTTTTGTGTGGATTTTCTGCAGTGTGGTTTACCAGGACGGATTTTACGGTGCTGACCTCTATGTAAGTACACACACCGGAGCCTTCTTGTCCCCAACCCCTGACAAGCCAGCCTTTTTTATTTATTTATTTATTTTTTCCTTTTGGTTTGTTTGGTTTGGTTTGATTTTTTTAAAAATATCATTTACTTTAATTTTCTTCTTCCTTGTGGATATATATATATTTATATATTTAGGAATGCAAGCATGCTTCTCTGTCACTGCGCTTGCCCCTGGGTGCAAGACCTAAGCCTTTGGGTTTCCTGATCATTGCCAGGGTCAGTTTACTGGGTGTCCTGTCCCCCACGTGCACACTGCTACTAATCAACCTGAGAAATTATTAGCAAATTAAAATTTCTCTCAACACTTCTTCTGTTTAAATAATTTGGACATAAAAATAACAGGACTGGTTTAGCCTCAGACCTTCCCTTTCCTTCTTCCCCTCCACCCTCCCCTTTCTCTCCTGTCTTGGGGCCCTTTCAGGTTCGATTCGTGCAGCCCACACTAAACTGAGTGAGCTGTATGTTTAAAAACGTTCATGTGCCACTGGGATGTGGAGATTATCCCTTTGGGGAAGATGCTGAGGCTGATTAAAAATGGAGACCGAGATGCTAGAGTGAAAACTGACATCTCATTTTGCTGGTAGAAACGGTACCTAAATAAGCTAGATTCTCTTGCCTCTTTGGGGAATTGTAGAGTACAAATATGTGGAGATGTTCAGTTAGAAGAGTCAGCTGCCTCTTCCTATCTGGGAATTAGCTCTGATACCACAGGAGACTTTGTTCTGTCATTGTCTTTGTCCTACCCAGCCAGTCTGTATTGCAAATCTCCAGGGCATCTGTGTATTATGTAGGTGGGTTGTGGATGGAGGGATTCTGACTGGCCAGTGAGAAAAGCAGTTTCCTCTCAGTTTGAGAGCTGTTGCAGAGCAGCTATGGTAGGATTACACTTTTCAAAGCCAAAACATTCAGGTCCACTGCTGCTGTTGCAACCTGTGGACCATGTAGCTCTAGCAGTGTTCCCTTTTGTGGTATTTTAAGTAATAGCTCTTTAGAGCTGAGAAAGTTTTGTATAGGGTACTGGCAGAGTTGTTGGCATGGATTTTATATCCCTGCTCCTTTGAAGGTGCTACTTGTCATATTTATAAAGAGAACCCTAGAGTTAGACTCCAGGTAATGGATGGAAGTTGCTTTTTTATTTTACTGGCTTATATGGAGGGTCAAGTCTTGTAAAGGTACTTTTCCCAATACAGTTGCAGCAGTTGGAAGATGTGTTCTCTCAGTGCAGAGATATTGAGTGCATTTCTTAATTCTTGCATATACAGTCATGTGTACAATCCTTTAAAAACTGATCTGCCTAGTGAAGTATTCTTTTATAAAGCTGTGTCAAGGACTACATAGTGTTATGGGTTTTTCTACCTCACTCCTAAAGCACCAGCTTTACAGACTGCTGACTTTGCTACAGCAAGTAAGCAAGCAAATGAGCAGTGCTCATCAGGAGTGCCTCTTCCCTTAGAGTATCACATGTAAGAGGCTCTCACGTTGAAAGAGAAGACTAGCCAGGGTTACTCCCTATTCCTTTTAGGAAAGCTCCTTCAGAGCTTCCATTGCAGGTGGGGAGACTTATTTAACATGTTTGAGGACAAGGACTTCAGTAATGAAGAATCCCTGTAACCATTTAATGCTGCAGTGCAGTAGCATGACATAACACAAAACTAAGTCCCCAGGTCAGGTTAGAAGCATTAGGTGCATTTCTGATGACTTTGCTGTCGATGGCTCTAGTCTCACTGTCAGAAAGCAGGATGATAAAAGAGGGGACTCATCAAGGTAGATGATGGTGCTTTTCCTGATGTTACTGCTCCCTAGAGCACTCTGATGGACCTCAGGAAAAAGTTGTGATAATCCAAACATGAAGTTACACTTGCAAACAATTTGCTTGGCAGATGTGCCGTAATTACAGTGTCCCTGTGCTCCACTGATTTGTCATGCCTTTCACTGCACAGTGCTTATGCCTCTCTGGTTGCTGTGAAAGGCTTGTCCAGCTTGTGGAAGGGGTGATAAAGGGTACTTCAGTTAAAACTGGGCGGAAAGTTAAATAGAGGTTCCCTTAGGATTTCTGTGTTGTGTCGAGGAAGTGTGGAAAGGAGCTGAGCTGGCAGGGAGTGGTTAGTGGTAGGCAAGATGAAGGGGAATTGTCCCCAAGTTTGGGCTGCTTTTTCTGCATACATGTTACGCACTGATTTCTCAACTTCCTCCTCCTCCTCTTCCTCACTCCTTTTTTCTTCCCTGGGGCAACCATCCTGCTAGCCATTTCCTCTGTGAAGAAGGCAATCCATCTCTTGTTGGATGCGTCCCACTCTGGCAAGACACCTGAATTCGTAAAACAACCTGCCCCAGGATGCAGAGGGCTTCATTTTGGATCATAAGAAAGGTTATCTTTCTTCTACAATGGGGTCAATCTGGGCGGCGGGGGGGAAACCCAAACAAACCCACCCATGTGAAAACTGCTTCTGCCTGTGAAAAGCGTGCTTGCATCCACTGGAAAGAAAAGGCTGGTGAGCCCTGCCGTGGGCTGTTTGTATGATTGTTTCTTTCCACAGCTGTGTTTTTTTGAACTGCTCTTCCTGTGTTCTGTTATAGAATAGTCTTACAGGAACCAATCATTAGCGCTAAAATACCTCAGGTAGGAGTGCCAGTGTGACCTGCCAACCGATCAGATTGTGGATTGCAGTGGAAAAAACTGAATTATACTAACCATTCCAGCACCACATTAGAGATGGGAACAGAGGCTTTTTTAGGGCAGCACAGACTCACGTGTGATCCAAGCCCCTGCTGTAGCAGGGCAGCGTGTGTCCAGATTTCACACAGAGTGGCATTTCATTCAAAAAACAATAATAACGTAAATTCAATGGTAGGGTTAATAAGGTCATGCTTGTCCCATTACCATGTAGAAGCACCTGCTGCAATGGACACCGTTGTCCTGTCACCTCTTTTAATTCATTCATGCTCATTCCTGGTGCACATATGCCACCCTTCTAATACAGAAATACTGGAAACAGTTCTAGCCCTTTCTGCTTCTTAACTTCTGTTATAGGGCAGGTTGGGGGTGGAGAAGGCGCATTTGAAATACCACAAAAAAAGTCCTAAAATTGGGTTCACTGCCTAGCCTAGCAAGTTGTCAAATGTATATGACTCGTACCATGAGTTACACATTTCTCCGGGGGGATGGGAATGCTTGTGTCTTAGTGGCATAAAAGCTCTTTGGAATAAAGAAGCACAGCAACACACTTTGTGTGCCCCTCTAAGGCAGCAAGGGAAAAAGAAAAGGGAGGGCTATACTTTAGGATACACTGACATAGTAAGCTGTAGTTTTGGATTTCCTCATGCTCTTATTGGAGTGATCATCTAATACTGACCTGAAGAGTGGAAGAGAAGATGGACTTATTTTGAGCTGAACTGTATAGTCGTTTAAGTGTTCATTTATCTACATTAACCTGCTCAGTAATAGGAATGCTGCTTTAGTTTAGATTGCAGCTTCCTCTGTATGTTGTTTTGCCTGTTTGTGTTATTTCAGAGAACATATGGAAAAGGTATTGTCTAATGTTAAAGAAGGAATTTAAAAAAGATATTTTCTTGCTTCATTGATTAGCCAAGGATGAAAATGTCACAGAAGAGTAATTTTAAATTTGAGCTGTTGTGAATACCTGAGCAAATGCGGTTATTTGACAATTAAAATCTGGAGGCTCAAGCACTACACATTTATGTAGGGAGAGGGTTTTAGGACACCCCCAGAAACACTGGGACAATATCCAGAGAAAAGAGAACTTGAATTAAGATAAATAACCTTTAGAGTTGTGCTCATCTCTCATATGGTCCCCAGACAATTCAAAAGGCTGTACTGGAACAGACCAATTTTGATTTAGACAGTCATTTTGGTTGTTGCTGCCCAGTAAACGCAAAAAACCCTTTTCCTTAGTTCCCCTGCTTCCTTGTCAAGACAGTGTTTATAAACTGTCCCTTTGATAGAAATCTCTCTGACTTAACATCTTCACAAGAAGCTCAGCCACACTCATTTCTTTGGCGATGAGGCTAAAGATTTTAAAAACTGAACCTGGATGGGCAAACCTGCCCCTGTGGAGTCACTTCACTGAAATAGGTGGAGTGGGAGTTTCATGGCTGTCCTTGGTTTTAGGGACTGTGCCACTCCATGGTGTCTTCTGTTAAAGTTTGGCTGTGGCACTGGGAGGAGTGTGGTGCAGCTTTTTATTTCTTTTATTGGGAAATAGGATGGTTCATGTTTGTTCAGGGTGTTCCACTCTGTTATAGTTTATATTTACTAGAGTACCTGAAGTGAGTGGCATCAGAAATCACTAAGGGTGATAGGACCGTGTAGCTCAGGTTATGGGTGAAGTCTGCATACCCGTTAAAGTTGTGTGTAAACAGGAATAGCAGGAGAAAATAACTGATGCATTGGACAAGCTGAACAGGGCTTTAGGCACATTGATGGAATGGTAGGTGGGTCCTGGGTTATGGAGAACAGGAGCATCACCTGGTTAAGGCAACCTGCAGAGTGTCTCCTTTGCTCTGTACTGGTCCAGAGTTTGATGAAAACACTTACAAAAAAACAAGTCTCAACTTTCCTCCTCTTTCTTTCACCCTATTTTGGTGTATATGGACCTGTTGGTCATGCTAAATACATCCCTGTGTGAGAAATCCCCCAGCTGTCCACACTCATTGCTCCTATGACAGGAACGTACCATGGCCATTATAATCCCCATTTTTGGTTTTATTTGAAGTACACACAAGTAGAATTTGCAGACTGCATTGAACTGAGCAGGTCTGCCTGTGCGTGTGTACCTCTATCCTGTGACTTTTTTCCTTTTTCTTTTTTTTTTCTTTTTCTTTTTTTTTTTTTTAAATTAACAGTAGCTTCAATTTTGCATCAGTGCATGGTTAAAAAGCAATACACATGTCAGCTATTTCTTAACTTCACTTCTCCAATGAATTATTTCTCCTGTTTTGTTTTTTTTTTGTTGTTGTTTGTTGTGCAGTTGACTGAAGAAATGTTAACATCCCGCTCTAAATCTCTCAGTGGAGTCTCTGTTCCCTTCTCTGATATAACAGATGGGTTATTGCTTGTTATAATTATTAACATTGTGGTGTGGGACAGGGCTAGGGTGGGAGCCATTTTGGGGGGCGAGGGTGGGAGGCTGCGGGAGTTGTTAAGGTTGGAATGTTAACTCCAGTGGTGACTGACTGTTTCCGTAATAGCAGGTTGTTGTGGCTGCACGCTCTAGTAATTGAGGCTGTGTACTTCACTGAGCTTGTGGTAGAGCCTAGGGCAAACTGCTGTCCCAAGAGAATGCTGGGATGGATAGAACTAGCCAATATGAGTCTGAACGTGGTGACTTTGCTGGTTGTTCTAGCTCCAGATGTCAGCATGCTTAGTTTTTAATTTTGATTAATAAATGTTACGCCATTCCCCCTCCTACACCTGATTCCAACCCTTCTTCTCTTTTCTTCTTCTTTTTTTTTTGTTTGGTTTTTTTTTGTTTGTTTTGATTTGGTTTGATTTTCCTTTATGAGAGACATGAGTTAAAAGAGAATTACATGATAACCCTCTTATGGTTTCAAACTGCATCTTGCTGTCATGTTCAGAGTATGTGCCAGGCATATTTGAAATGGCTTCTGATCTGAAATGTGGCTGGCAAGTGTGGGGCAGAGTGGGGGGAATCTGGGGGCTGGGGAATCTGCCAGCTGCCCTGCAGAGGGGTAGGGCCAGGCAAAGATGGCTCGTACGCCGTGTCCAAGGGACAGACCTCATCAAGAGTTCAAGAAGCTCTTAAACTTCAGGGAATACCACAGTCATACCAGCACAAAGTTTTGTCTTAATTTGGTGAGATTGATGAAGGTTTGATTCAGATTAAGATTGCACCTCGTTCCTCTCACCTCCGTCATGTTTTGGGGGTGGGAGTAATGGTGGTGTAGTGATAGCGTGCCAGAAACAAACTAACCCTTCCCAAACCGTCAATCCAAAATACAAGGATTGAAACATCCAGCTGAGATTAAGGGGGCAAAACTGTAATATGACATCTCTTTTGAGCAATGAGATGATGTTTCAGAGGTGTAGATTTGTGTTGCTCTTTTCTTCTGTTAACTAGAAGGTTAAAAAGTCTGTAAGTCCTTTCTCTTCAGTGCAGGAGATGGTCCCCAGGCATGTTTTGGATAGCATATTAGCCTTTGTGGGCTAGCGCAGGTCCCACAAAAACAACCAACATTAATTTAAAATAATTACTTCTAATTTAAAAGCTACCTAGCTCAAAACTGGAGCACTACTGAGCAAACACACAGTCCTGTATTAGAGTTGATTTAGTTAAGTGTAGGCAGAAGACCTATAGGGAAGAAGTGGCAGAGGTATGCTGAGCTGATTCAGGAGGTGAAAAGCGTAAGTCTGCCTTCTGGTCTTTAAAAATTTTGAAATGTCAGTTGGAAAAAAAAAGCACCAGAAGCAATCTGGAGTTTTCTGATGTTATTTGTGGCTCATTGTGTTTATAGCAAATCAAAGCCATGGTTCATTTACCATTGCCCCCTCTTAAGTTAACAAAAATAAGTTCAGAAGTGTACAATAAAGAAAGATCTAACCTGGGCTTCAGAGCCCTCTTTGCTGCCTGCCATACAGCCTTTGCCCCTCTTCTCAAAGGTGGCTGGCCTCCATCCTTCATTACTGCAGGGTGTGCAGAGCTGCCTGCCTGAGCCAGGTCTTCCTCTGCCCCAAAAGCTCCTTGTGACAGTGCCAGGAGGAGACTCACAGGTATTCCTTTGGGTCAGGATTCACATTTTGCCAACCCAGCTGTGTATGTTTTTAGTAACTACACCTAATCAGTGTAAGCATTTTAAAGACCTTTATTACAGGTGCATAGCATGGGCAGAAATGTAGCAGCAATACAGACTGTTCTGGTGTAATTTTCCCTGACCTGTTTCCCTTTTAAATGGAGGTAGGAGAGATGGTCTGGTTGGTATCAATGACAGTTTGGTGGTTGTCAGCCATGAGGTGACCAGGGGCTATCTCTTCTGACCATCTTTTCCTTATTGCTTTTTGGCTTCCCCAACTGCTGAGACTTTTAAGCATCTGGATAAAATTAAATTCAGCCTTTTGAGTTTCCTGGGCTTAAAAAAGAGATGATGGGGGTGGAAAATGAGGAATTTTTTTGAATGGTCCCCTTTCTAAAATAAACACTTCACAGAAAGGGCCCACATCTGATTTCCCCAGTGTAAGAGGAAGGGGACATAAAAATTACATTGCATGCAAGACTTCAACTCTTTCTTAGGTTTCAGTTGCTCCATGCCAAATTTAATTTCCTGGAGGAATATAACCATGCTCAGACTTGCTTTAGTTTATTTGTTCTGCTAAATTGGACAACAGAAGAGTGTCCCTGGCCCTTCTGAGGAAAGGAATATGCATAAATTAATGAGCGATGCTTTTGATAGACAGGACATGGGAGCTGATGCAGTTTGAAACACTTCCTCTCCTTGTGATGTGTGTCTCTTTTTTTTATTATTATTATTTTTAATGCTCTGCGTGGGTGGACAGGTATCTGCAAAGTCAGTTCTCTTCTCTCCTGCAGGGTGGATACGCAGCCTACAGATACGCACAGCCTGCTACTGCAACAGCAGCCACAGCTGCTGCAGCCGCTGCAGCAGCTTACAGCGATGGGTATGTAAGGGGGAGGTGTCCAGGGGGGCCAGCTTGCTGTGCTCAGGGATTCCAAGGAGCATTGATCCATTTCAGTATTTCTACTTCTTTCCCTGCTTCTTTGTCTTACTTGCGCTCGCACGCGCACACATGCATGCACAGCTCAACGTGAAAGACTTGAATGCACGGTTTGTCTGGCTGCTCCTGGGCAGCGTTGCCTGCCGGTGTGTGTGAGCTGGCAGAAATCCAGGCCTCTTCCCTGTCCTTGGGATTCTCTGCACAAAGGAGGCAGTGTGGTTATGGCCTCAGAGTCAAAAGATCTAGCTTGCCTTGCCAGCTCGTTGCTCTGTGACTTTGGGCAGGTTGTTTAATCACTGAGTGCATTTCTCTCCCCTTCCATAAAGTAAAAATTGCTCAGCTCACACAGTACTCTGGGATGCTTTAATGTGCAGCTCTGCACAGATACAAAGGATGAGCATCATCAGAGTGCTTGCCTTAAGGTTTTTCATCTCCTGTGCAGTGAGGCCATGTTTTAATCCTTGGCATGCGAGACCATTAAAGTTTATGCTCCCTTCTCATCCTGGAGAATCCCTCACTGCTTTCCATTTAGCAGCAGTTGCCGTGCCAGTACTGCTAGTGCCAGCAGTCACTCTCCTCCCAAATTGCATCATGCCAGGTAAGGATGCACTAGCTGTCGTTTCAAAGGTGCTGACCTCTTTCCCACAGGTTGAGCTCATGGCTTCCACCACATTCCTCTTTGCAGGCCGTTCTCTTGTCCACCTCATCCGATGCATGGCAGCATGCCCATAGGATCTCTTCAAAGAGAGGCTGCCTGTGTGTGCATGTATGCATACATGTGTATAGAAGGGCATGCTGTTTCTCCCATTGCCTGTGGTCATATGGTTGCTTCTCTGCCCCTCTGAAGTGATTCTTTTTTTATCTTTTCTCCCTCTCTTCAGTTATGGCAGGGTGTACACAGCAGATCCTTACCATGCCCTCGCCCCTGCCGCTAGCTACGGAGTTGGCGCTGTGGTAAGTGGAGTTTTCTTTCTTGTGCTGTTTCTTATTTCCAGCCTGGGGAACAGCTGGGTATGGGGTAATGAAACTTCACCCAGAAAAGCTTTTTTCTATTAAGGGTGGAGGTCCTTAGCTGCAGTACTGGGTTCCCAGTTGTTCTGCATTCTTATGTTTGTGTGTGAACTAGAAAGGGAGTCAGGTTGTAAGAGACCAGTTATTACTTGATCTTGCACGTCACCTAGTACAAAGGAGATGACAGAAGAATGACCAGAAATGTCAGGAGCCAGAACTTTGTTAGTTAATCAGTAGAACTGTATCAAGCTGATTGTAAAGCAGAAATCAGCAATAGTTAGAGATGCAAGAAACCCTTGCTATTTTCATTAACTTTGAAGGCTAATGTCAAGAAATCAGTTCTAGGAGTAACTTGTTCTTATGACATCTTGCAGCAAAGCTGCTCCACTTGGTTCCATCTTCAGCTAGTGGAAGGATGTGGTGTCCTGCCTGCCGGCAGTAGTTACGCAAGGGCAGGAATGAGGTATGCTGGCATCTGTGGGGAGTGGAGGAGCTTGCTGAAAACACATGCTTGCCCATCTGCTTCTAGCCAGCACAGTGTTGTTGCAAAGGCTGGAATACAAATGTGATCAGAGAAAAAGACACCTAAATATAGATATCTGCAGTGTAGCACCCCTTTCTGTGCCTCAGCTTATCTTTAGGGTCAGTGGAGGAAAAACAGGTAATTCTAAAGATACCAGATCATCCTGTCTATTTTATACCTTTGCCTTAAGGTAAGGTGAAGAGCATCTCAGAATTTCTGGTCTCTGCTATCTAGAAAGACAAGCTGGACAACTATCTCAGATATTAGGACTCATGAGTTCAATCTCTGGTCTCTTTGGTTTTGCAGGCAAGGTTTTCCTCTCTTGCTTTTTAGAGGTGTGAGTCAGTGCCATCTGTTAGTCCTGAGAGCATTTGATTGCTGTCCTAAGTATTCCTTCATAGTACACCTCCTAACAACCTCTTCTTTTCTTGTTTAATTTCTACAGGCGAGTTTATACCGAGGTGGCTACAGCCGATTTGCCCCCTACTGAAGTGACGTGAGCCCCCTGCAAGTGGGACAGCCCCCCCAGTTCATGAGGCCTGGCTATTGCAATATTTACTAGTAGAGGAACTCTATAGCAAGACGAGGAGGAAAAACAAAATACAAAAGAGAAAATACTTTTTTATACCTCACTATGTTCTTTGAATATGTATTTTTTTTTCTTTAAATTTCTGCCTTTAATTCTTTTGTTCCAAAGATTGTGCATTTTTTTTTGTTTTGTTTTGGTTTTGTTTTAGTTTTTGGGGTTTTTTTAACTGTGGTAAAATACTGCATTTCCGTGTCTGTATGTTGGTGCATAGCTTATCCTACCAATCACGGAAAAGGCGATTAGTGATAAGGAAAGCTGTTAAAAAATGATATCATGCAATTAATCAGGAACACGCAGAGTTTCTTCCCTGGGTCTGGGGCTTGATGCCTGTGAGACAGGAGGATGTAAGGGAGAAGTCTCCACCTGCTATGTTTCTGGTCTGCAGAAGGAAGTCTTTGGCTGTGGCTGGGACCTAAATGCTGGTGGGAAATAGTAATTTACATTTGGAAATAGGGGAAATGCAGAGACTTTCCTCGTTTTTATCACCATCTGATGTGCACAGGTTTGGGACAGTTTCAGCAGTGTCAGGATTTTACACTTGGCAAGAGACAATTTCCTCAACCTGCCCAAAGACTTTGGCTGTTACCTGCCATATAGGGGACAAGACTTGGAAAGGAATCTTTTGTGAGGATGATCTTTCCCACACACACACACTTACTCTAGCTGATTGTTGCCCATTGCTGGTGGCTGTAATTATGTTAGTTTTCCTCCTTCCTTTTCAAGATCTTACTCCCTTGCCGTCCTTTTCCTCCCCTTCTTTCCTCAAAGAGTGGCAGATGCAATACAGCATCACACAGAGTACCTCTGTTGCAGACAACAAGCGGTTAAACTTGCAGAGGTGAAGCAGGTGCAGCCTTGCAGAGGAAGAAAGCTGGTCGAGGAACCAGGAACAGTGCTCGGGTGAGGCCCAGCGTGCAAAGTTTCTGCTCCTGTTCATCCTGAGCTGCTTGGGTGCTTCTGCAAGTATTCTGTTTCATGTTAATATGAGTGAGGAAAAACAAGTCATGTATAAGCTGCAGAGGCAAGGGGCAAGCATATGGGTCTGTGTGGGGGAAGAGAGTCTTTTATATCTAAACGTGATCCTGAAGTGGTTTTGGTTCAGTCAGAAGTTATAGAGGAGGCAGAAGCAGTTTGTGCAAGCTCTGAATTCATAGGAACTTCCCACCACAGACTGTTCCAGACCCTTATGTAGTTGCATTGGAGCTGGCTAGGTATGTTTTGCCCAGCCTCTTATAGAAGGCTGTGCTTCTGGTCTGCTGAGACCACATAGACACTACATATTAGACTATTTAGGGGAGGGCTCCACTACTCCCAAGACCATCTCTCTTCTGTTCTTACTTACAGTGACTTCACTGTGTTTCAAAATCAGCATTTGTAGGAGTCTGTGTGAGCTGTGCCGTGATGGGGAGTTGCTGCTTTCTAGACCTCCCTGCTCCACTACTGGCTCTAGTGTACTTGCAGTAACCCCAGTACTCAAAGGTGGGGCTTTCTAACCACATGTTAGAGAAATGCAGAAGCACAGTTTTATTAGGCTGCCTGCACTCCCTCAGTTGGTATTGGGGTGAGCTCACTGCCCCCAGAGGACTGCTTGGAGTGTGGGTTTGTTGGTGGAGCTTCTCTGCAGTTCCAAGTCATATACTTGCTTCTCCATCCTCTGCTGATATCAGAATAGGAAACCTCCTACATTTAACACTAAGCAATGGCAACAAGCAGAGCTGCCAGGGGTTTATCCTGGCCCAGCCACACACAGCCCTGCATTTTTTTTGCTCTTCCCCAGTGATACATGTAGCCTTTCTGTGAACAGCAGAGAGGCAGCACCTCAAATGGGGAGAATGGGGAAGCCATTAGTTAAGCTAGAGACCCTGCAGCTATTGATTCTCTGGAGGAATAGCTAGATAAAGGGGACACCAAACTGCCAGCCTGTTGGCCACCTTGTTGGTTTTTTTTTCTGGTTTTATTGTTGGTTTTTAACTTTTTTTCCAAGCCAAAGTTTGGTTTGTTGCTGTTATGACAATTTTTTTTGTTGTTTGTATATAAATATTTTAGTTAGCTTGAAAATGGGAAGGGGGGAACAGGATGTTGGGGCTTTCACAAAATCTAGGAAATGAGGGGGACTCGGGGTATTCAGGGGCTTTTACTGTCTGAGTTGGGGTAGGGGAGGGAGAATTTATGGTAGAAATAGTCATATTCAAGGGGAGCCATTTCCACCGCAGGGCAGCCAGGGGTCTTCTGGAGCTGAGATGCAGCAAAAGCCTCTTCTGGACTTGTTGTAGCCTCCTGTGGGGCAGAGAGGCTGAGTGAGGCCATCCCTCCCCTTGCCCACATGCAGTTCCTCATGCAGCAGATCTGCAGGCTGCCAGCGAGAGGAGCGCAGCTTGCAGAGCCCAGCAGGGGCAGCTGCTCACCCCTCTGCCCCTTTTCTACATTTCAGTTCAGCTGGTTCTGACTGCAGCTCCTGAAAACTGGGCTCTCCCTCCCCAAGTGCCCTCCCCCCTGCCCTGGCAGTGCCGCCTGCAATCCCCCCCTGCCATTTGGCCTCTCTGGGAGTAGGGAGGCCAGTCCCATTTCTGCCTCCGAGCAGAGTCTATGCACGGCGGCTTCAGCCCGCCCGAGTGTGTTAGGAGTGTGAGGTGTTCAGTGCAGAAGCACCCAACCCTTGCAGGGCTGTGGGCTCCTGCTGCATGACCTCCGAGTAATACCTGCTCCAGAACATCCAGCCTGATTCCTCCTGTATCCAAGCCCAGGCTCCTCCAGTGCATTAACTAGCTGGTGTCTCCTTGACTCTGTAGTTAATGCTGCAGGATTCCCGCTGAAGTAGTTCCCTGATAGCCTGGCTTCCTGCTCAGCAGTGAGGTGCAGAAGGGATATTGGGATGTTTGCATGGCTGGGGGCCGGAGGTAGCTTGCTGGTTCCAGGTGTCTAGAGCACCAGACCTCCCAAAATCTTGTATGCCAGCTGGAATTTTGCAGTGAGGTTTCTCGAGTGAATGTTGTGCCATGGCAGGAGAGCTCCTCAGCTTTTCTTCCCTCTTGGCAAACAACAGCTCTGGTTTCACTCGGATGTGTTATGAACTGGCTTGAGATGCATTCAGAGTAGCCAAGCTGTGGCTATATCTATCTTCTGAAGAAGTGAGGACAAAGCCTATATCTCCCTATGCAAAATGAATGACACTTAGTGAACTAAACTGGGCCCTGGCTTATTTGACCAATGGCAGCTAGTGCTTGTTCCCGAGATGGGTCTGCAGTCACAGGTCCCTTGCAGAGCAGGGCTTGGCTTTCCAAGGGAAACTGCACAGGCAGCTTGGCAAACATGTTACTGTTTGTCACCTAGTCTCTTAGGCATCCAGAATTCCTCTTGATGTAGAGGAAGATGTTTCTTTAAGTGTTGCTGTTCGTACCATCTTGCAGTAGATCTGGCCAGCATGTGATATTATACCAATAAAGATTTGGATTAAAGAGTTGATTTATTTAGTATGCTGGCCTGTCTTTCCTTGTGGATACAGTTGTGCTGGTACAAAGATGACTTCTACTGGTATAGCATATTCTCTACGGAGAATAAGTTATATTGATGCCCAGCATGTCAACAAACTGTTGTCCCCACATGAGGGAGGCTGCACTGTTGTAGACAGGTTCGCTTCTCTAAGAAAAGCCATGACAGGACCTGGAGACAATAGGGAGATCAGTATGAGCCTGCCATAGCCAGCTATTCCCAGATTAAGCAGTTAAGTGGATCCTGTGTCATGAGTTCAGATGGACAGAGCCATGTTTTAAATTAGCTGTGGCTTTTCTGTTTCAGTGCCCGAGAGAGAGCGCTGGCTCAGGAGTCAGAGACCTGTGTTTTGGTCAGGGCTCTGTCAGTGGTCCTCAAGGGTCCTTGTGGAGCAGTTGTGTTGCTGCTCTAGACTCCGCTTCCCCATCCCTAAAGTGAAGTGAAAGTTTATCCCCCTGTTCTTGCCCATTTTGAAATCTGTGGATGTGAAGTGCACAGCAAGTGCTGAGGAGGGTGATCTGAATAGCTGGCTCGAGTGTGAGTTGTGAAATGGTTAATGAAACCATTTCCTTGTCTGAAAAGAGGCACTGGCTCTTCTGGGGTCTCAATTCCAGCACCCAGAGCTTCTGCAGCAGGGAATACAAAGCAGAGCCTCGAAGTTCCTACCCACCTTTTCTTCCAACCTGTCCCTGTCTGTATCTTCCCATCCTGGCCCCAGAGGAGGAGGCAAGTGGAGAACAGGTTTGGGGAGCACTTAGGAATTCAATAAAGGGAAAAACCAAACAGCTCTGGGGAGCGCTTTTGCTGAGTCTGGCTCCAAAGGGAAAGCACGTGGGCAACGTGGCAGATGGCCACCTGCCCATGGGCCTCCAGCCTGGCAGGGTCGGGGGAATGCTGTCCTTGGTGCAGAGGGGTGATTTTTAAAGTGTGTTACCTGTTTGCACTGTTTTAAAATAGGAGGGGGGGGGTGAAAACCCAACCTAGTGAACAAGATGAACATCCAATGTAAACTTCTTTGTGTTTTTATTTTGTCATGCTCTTGGAAAATGTCAAATATTTTGTAGTATACACCAGTGAGACTTGATTCTTTGTTGCATAAAACACTATTTTTGGTGATATTAATGTCTGAAAAGCCCTGTCCCTCCACCCCCACCTTACTGATTGCCCTCTCTGCCCTACAACCCCGGTAAACTTATCTTCTACAATGAAAACTCCAGTCAGCAAGACAAGCAGGAGTCTATAGCCAGAGTGTGAAATGGGGCCCTTTTCAAGTAGGCTCTGGGGTTTCTCCCCGGTGCACTTTCCTCTAGCCAGGAGTTGGCAGGATGGCCCTGTCCCTCTGCAGCACATGCTTCAGTGGCAGCCTAAATGGGACTTGGACATCCCAAGTCCCACCTCTGTTGCCACTGCTAACCCTGGAAGGCAACTTCTTGCTGGTGGTTGTCTTCTCTGGGTGGCAGGCTGCAGCTGGTCCAGGCTTGTGCAGGAGACAAGCTTCCCACGCTGCCTC